TAAACAAAAAATGTAATATTTCTGTCAAAGATGACTTCTAAATTTATTCACCTTTCTATACGTACCATTGGATTTGATAAAAAAAGAGTCACAAATTATTGAGATATTGCTTAAAATATAACACTGCTTCTTGATTCTAAATTCGTCCTACGAGTTTCAATTCCGTCCAAACGCATTGAAACGCCATTAGATTTTCTTCGTCCTACGGATAAACGTAGAAAAAGGGGATTCGCTAGGAGCGCTTCTTTTGTTTTGAGAACAATGAGCGTAAATATTCATACAATGCGCTCTAACAGGATTTATGTTGTAGCTAATGAACTAACGCATCGGAACAAATCTATTATTGATTTGTGCACGGTGAAATCATTGCTATTATTGATCTTTTCTGATCGATAGAACGGAAATGGGCGATTACGACGAAGTAGCGCTCTACCAGCTATTAGTAGAAAAAGAAACAAACCAGAAAATACAATTGTATTAGGAAATCAGGCAGTAGAAAATTGTGAACGAGTTAGGGATTTAGGAGTTATAATTGATTCAAAACTAGCATTCAATGATCATTATAATACAGTTATCAACAAAGCAAATACCTAATATGCTTGCATTCAAAGTGTTTTTTATGTTACTTCATACGCGAAGTTAACGATTTTCAGAGTTGGTTGGAAATGCTAACATGAAGCTTTAGTGTGATGATTTATTAGCTAGAGAATGATCTTTAGAAGAATGTAGGTGGATAGTTCCGTTAGAGTACGGCAGTATGAAAATTGAATAGAAGTTGAAAATGAGCGAAGGGCCATTAAAGCGACAGTTTTCAAGATGACGCACATTTTTGCCTAGCCCGTACGATGTACGCGGGGACTTGAAGTATGTCTCCAAGTCCACAGGCAAAAATGTGCGTCACTCTTGTTGCTCATAAACTGACTGCGGCTGTGGAATAGTTCTAGCGACGTTTTCATCACTACCTAAAGCCCCACGTCGCGAGAGCATTTCCAGTCGATGGTGTGTTATAATGCAGTTCTTCTTTACCCAACTATTGTGTTGCTCCTCTCGTCATGACCAACGTGATCATCTCAGAGAGAAAGCAGTAGGGTGGTTGTTGCGTGCTGTACCATCATCAGCATTGTTGACGGCTACTCCCGCCTTGAGTTGTTACATTCAAAGTGTTTTTTATGTTACTTCATACGCGAAGTTAACGATTTTCAGAGTTGGTTGGAAATGCTAACATGAAGCTTTAGTGTGATGATTTATTAGCTAGAGAATGATCTTTAGAAGAATGTAGGTGGATAGTTCCGTTAGAGTACGGCAGTATGAAAATTGAATAGAAGTTGAAAATGAGCGAAGGGCCATTAAAGCGACAGTTTTCAAGATGACGCACATTTTTGCCTAGCCCGTACGATGTACGCGGGGACTTGAAGTATGTCTCCAAGTCCACAGGCGTACATCGTACGGGCTAGGCAAAAATGTGCGTCATCTTGAAAACTGTCGCTTTAATGGCCCTTCGCTCATTTTCAACTTCTATTCAATTTTCATACTGCCGTACTCTAACGGAACTATCCACCTACATTCTTCTAAAGATCATTCTCTAGCTAATAAATCATCACACTAAAGCTTCATGTTAGCATTTCCAACCAACTCTAATATGCTTGGCTTTATCAAACGATTCAGTTACAATTTTCATGACCCGTATACAATAAAATCACTGTACATTTCATATGTAAGATCAATACTTGAATATTGCAGCATAGTTTGGTCACCTTTTTCATTCACGCATGAGGAACTATTAGAATCAGTGCAAAAGCAATTCTTACTATTTGCTCTTCGTAAATTAGGTTGGACAAGATTTCCTCTTCCATCTTATGAAGCACGCTGCATGCTCATCAACATTCAAACATTGAAAGCGCGTCGTGAATTTGCAATGGTTTCGTTTGTGAACGATATAGTATCGCATCGAATTGACTCAGTAGAACTGTTATCAAAGCTTAATTTTTACAAACCTTCTCGGCAACTGCGAACTCGAAATATATTTACTACAAATAACGATCGCACAAATTATGCCAAATTTGGTCCACTAAATCAAAATATGACTGCTTACAATAAACATAGTGAAGCTATTGATTTTATAATGACAAAAACCAGATTAAAGCAGTACTTTAATTCTATTCGTAAATTTAACACATGACTTGTAACTTGTAAAAAATGGTCTACATCTGATTGACGACAAAATAAATAAATAAATAAATAAATGAATGCATTATGCAAAATAAACAGCTCACAGCTTCCCAGATCTATCAGCTTCTCGCCACCTTTTTGTATCTCTAGCTTCAATTCACATTGGGCCCATCCATGGACACTTGCAGCAACTTGTTCGAAGAGATACCGGCAAGGGCGTCCATAAACGCAGCGAGTAGATCTGATGCCCGGGATCTTCCCAAAAACATTGACGTCATGCACTGATAAAATTTCAAAGATTGTTTTTATGAGTTCCACACATGATTTTTTGCAATGTGATCAACATAATTTTTTTCCCTGACCTACACTAAAATTCCCTGACATTCCCTGACTTTCCAGATCATAATTAGAATTCCCTGACATTCCCTGACTTTCCAGGTTTTTCCAGGTAGTCGACACCCTGGTATCCGTAACTGAACAAATGGAATCAAAATTGGAATAAACGTGGTCAATTAAAGTTCTACTGTGCCTGGAAATACGCGTATATTCATTTACCGTTTGCTTTAAATTAAAAAACTCAGCTAAACGCTTCAAATGATTCGAATTATGTTTATCACGCCAATTAATATTAAAATCACCAGCCAACATATTTAATTTACTAGAATCAAGGAATGTCTCGAGTCAATTCTCTAAAACTTCAACAAAACGCTGGTCACTAGAACTGGGAGAATGATACAAAACACCATAATTACCCATCTTCATGCCACGTACAACTGTAATGCCCAAGAACCAGTTGCCATCAATAACTTCGTTGGTACGAAGGTTGAATTGAACTGATTCTTTGACATAAATAGCAACACCGCCAGTGTGTCTAGAATGTGATAAACAAGCAGCAACAATATATCCCGGAATACTATACTGATCAAAAGCTTCAGTTTCTACAATATGAGTTTCAGATAATAAAACTAAAAGAGGACGTTTTTTCTCAACAATCTGACGTAATGCTACGTAGTTTGTTGACAACCCCGCAATATTCAAATATAAAAAATCGAATTGATTCACATTCCTGGAACTTGGCTGCTATTTATTGAAACGCAAGCTGCTTTTCTTCTGATCAAAAAGTCTTTTATAGAGCAAACATTCCGAGCTAAATGCGGCATGGTTGACGTCCAAGTTCATTTTTCGTTCTTTATTCATTTTCAAACAATTAATACATTTCAATACAGTTGACGTACACTCCGACGTTTTGTGTTGTTGGCTGCACCTAGAGCATCTATCACAATTTTTGCAATCCATGCTCTTGTGCCCAAATTCTCCACATTTGAAGCATCTCAACACATTAATCGCGGGAACTATCGAGCACCGATCAAACCCTACATTTACTTTTTTCGCACATAACAAACATTTATAAGTATCGACATCGACTTCAATTACAACACTAAACTTGTTATAAGTGAAGCGTGGATTTTCAAACATGTTCACTACTTTTACATCATTAATAGCGATGTCTTCATTTTGACTTTTTAAGTAGTCAATAAAGACATCGGAGGAAAACTGATCGCTCATGCCCACTATTTTCAATCTTGGCACCGAAGTGGGAACAACAGCACTATATTTTTCACCCAGATTGCTTTCAATACCATTTTTCACATCACTTACGTTTGCTCCTGTTGCACACTCAACAATAATGGAGCCATCTTTACCATTTCTAAAATTACTGATTTTGTGTGTTTTTGGATCCAACTGAGTTTTTAAAAACTTACGAGTATCTTCGCAAGGTTGTTTGGACTCTTTCGGTTTAATCACAATGACTGGACGAGTCTTACGATTTTCTGGTTTGTTACTTTTACTATTACTGTTACTATTAGTTTTACTTTGACTAATACGACTATGTCTTTTTACAACATCCGCAAAACTCGCATTTTCTTGAAAAACAACATCATCATCATGATCACTATTACTAATTACTAATTTACGTTTTTTGCGTCTGGTATTTTTGTCCGATTCCGACTGAATCGTCCTAGATGAACTGCACGGATCATTCTTTACAGCTAATTGGTTTTCCGCATCAATTTTAAAAAATGAACTTTTCATATTATCCAATTTCTCACAAATCAAATTTTCAAGACCATTTACATTTATTCTAATATCTGCCATCCCGCTTTTAACCGCGATGTCCACCTGAGCAGCAATGTGATCTCGCATGCCAGTGATCGAGTCCGAGAGTTGAAAAACCTTCTTCATCTCTTCCTCTATCCTTTTGACGCGCGAGATCAGATCATTCTGCTCGTCACAACTCTGATCTGATAGACAACTATCACACTTGAACAGAATATTTGCATTATCTGCTATAAGCCTGGCCGCAGTCTTAGTGAGTGCCGCACAAGCGAAATGGAACGTTCCATTGCACGGACCTACACACGTAACTGGGAGCCCACTCATAGCAATAGACTGCTCGCATACATTACACACATCCATTCTACCAAATTAAACGCTAACACTGTTAGCAGCAGACATATACAGGGGAGGAGAACACAAAATAAAATTTTACCGCCACAGCTCACTATACAAATCAATAGCGCGCCGGGGGGAAAATACAAAATTAAACAAAAACTAGTTGCTAGGCAACCTTTCCTCTACTTATCCTGTTAGAAAAACACCACGGGCACGCGTTGGAATAATCCTTTCGCGGCACACGCCACTATTTCACACGAAATTATTAATTTATTTTCACAGCACAACTCAACAAAAACACTACTTTGTACGCCATACTACGAATCTTGGTGGAGAAGGAACTCCAGCGACTTCAAAACCTTGGTGTCATCGAGCAGGTGGACTTCTCGAACTGGGCGGCACCCATTGTTGCTGTTCGCAAGGCACAGCGTGACGCAGACGGAGATCCGATAGTGCGTATTTGCGCGGATTATTCCACGGGGCTCAATGTGGTGCTGGAAGCAAATAAGTTCCCTCTACCTACTCCTGACGACATTTTCGCAAAGCTGAGTGGCAGTCAGTACTTTAGTGTGCTGGACTTGTCAGATGCATATCTACAGATGGAAGTTGAGGAGGATTCCCAGAAGTTGCTGACAGTGAATACCCACAAAGGACTCTTCAAATATAAGCGGCTTCCTCCAGGAGCCTTCCAAAAAGTTATCGACAACATGATTGGCGATTTGGAAGGAACTGAATCTTTTCTCGACGACGTTATTGTGTTCGGGAAAACAAGAGCTAAGCACGACCAGAACCTCGAAAACACAATTCAACGGATCCAGGAGTACGGGTTTCGGCTCAAGATTGAGAAGTGCAAATTTTGCATGAGTCAAGTGAAGTATTTGGGACATATTATCGATCGTGATGGCATTCGAACAGATCCGGAGAAGGTATCGGCAATTTCACAAATGCCTCCACCCAGGAATGTCACGGAGCTTCGTTCTTTCTTGGGCGCAGTGAATTATTATGCGAAGTTCATCAAGGAAATGCACCTACTGCGTAAACCTTTCGACCAGCTGCTCCAAAAGGACAGGCAGTGGGACTGGAAGGAAGAATGTAAGCGTTCGTTTTTGAGATTCAAGGAGCTGCTAAAGTCGGACCTGGTGCTTACACACTACAATCCTCAACTGCAGATTGTGGTGGCAGCTGATGCCTCCAACACGGGCATTGGAGCGAATATTCGACATCGGTTTCCTGATGGCACAGAAAAGGTGATTCAACACGCATCGAGATCATTGACACCGACGGAGCGTGGTTATGGGCAAATCGACAAGGAAGCTCTGGCACTAGTCTACGCCGTAACAAAGTTTCATAGAATGCTACTTGGACGACCATTCATTCTTGAAACTGATCACCAGCCTCTTCTTCGCATATTTGGTTCGCATAAGGGAATACCAACGCACACATCGAATAGGCTGCAACGTTTTGCATTGACAATGCTGTGTTATGATTTCAAGGTCCAATACGTCAGCACTACCAAGTTTGGATATGTGGACATACTTTCAAGGCTCATCAATTCGGCGGTGAAACCGGAAGAAGACTTTGTCATTGCATCGGTTCAATTGGAGGAAGATCTTCTAGCAGTTCTGGAGGATTCAGTCGGCAATACCCCAGTCACTTCCAGGATGATTGCGACGGCAACTAAACATGACAAGGTGCTGAAGCGTGTAGCAGTGTATCGAGTGCGGCTGGCCAGCAAAGGTAGACGATCCGGATTTGAAGGTGTTCGACAATAGGAAGGAAAGTCTGATGGTTACTCAAGGCTGTATTCTTTTCGGAGAACGTGTAGTGGTTCCTCAACTTTACCGAAAGCGGATTCTACAACGATTGCACCATGGACATCCGGGCATCGTTCGAATGAAGTCATTAGCTCGGAGTTTCGTGTTTTGGCCTGGCATTGATGGACAAATCGAAACCTACGTTAAACAGTGTAAGGAATGCGCATCTGTAGCTAAGTCTCCAGCTCATGCTACACCGGAAGCATGGCCAACTCCATCTGGACCATGGCAGCGTCTGCATATCGATTTTGCGGGGCCAATCGATGGACTTTGGTTCCTAATCATTGTTGATGCGTTTTCACGATGGCCGGAGATCTACCCAACGAAGACAACTACGGCCAAAGTAACAAAACAGTTTCTTCGAAGCACTTTCGCACGGTTGGGATTGCCATTGACGATCGTTTCGGACAACGCTGCACAATTCACTTGCGAAGAATTCGAAACGTACTGCAAATTGAATGGAATCACACACCTGCTCACCACTCCCTACCATCCGCAGTCTAACGGACAGGCGGAGCGGTTTGTAGATTCGATGAAGCGTGCGATGAAGAAAATCAACAAGGGAGAACCCCTCCAGGAGACACTAGAAGTGTTTCTGGCTACGTACCGCTCAACGCCAAGCGGAGTTACCGAGCAGAAATCACCGAGTGAAATGATGTTCGGTAGACAGATGAGAACAACGCTTGACCTATTGCGGCCGACGGAAATCTCCAAACCCGTCGACTTGGAAACGGCTCAACAACCAAGGCAGTTCAACACAGGTGATTTGGTGTACGCCAAGGTGCACAAGCGGAATGATTGGTACTGGGAAGTAGGAAAGGTAATCGAGAAGATTGGAACAGTAAATTACAATATCTGGTTGGATGGACAGCGAGTTGGTCTCATCCGATCTCACATCAATCAACTCCGTCCACGACACACCGTAGTGAACTATAACGAAAGAGAACCGTTTGCAGCAAAACATCACGAATCGTTGCCGTTGACAATATTACTTGGCGAGTTCAACATCAATCCACAACCAACGGTAGATGTTCCGGAGGATCAGCCACCTGAAGTTCAACCAAATCAACCGAATGGGCATCCAGGACAACGATCATCTGTTCCAGCGTCAAGTCAAGAGTCAACACTTCGAGGGGTGCCTGGAAATCGGATTCCTGTGGCTACCACTTCTCGAGGACGACCGGTTCGCCTTCCTCCAAGATTTGAGCACTACGTTATGTCCTAAAGAGGGAGATGCTATAGCACCACCTTACGGTAAGCAACATTGGTGCTAAAAGAAAAACTTCAGCAGCGGAAGCTGTGTATCGCAGCCAACTTGACGCTGTTGATATGTCAATTAACGACGTAATAAATATAAAGACACATTTTTCCTAAGACGTTTAATAAATATATTGTTCAAGTTGTTCCTGTTATCTGCCGTGTTTAATTACGGGACACAACATTAAGGTCCAACATAAAAGACGTTCTGAACGCTGCTTCTAGGGAGGGGGGGTAGTCCTGGTTCTCGTTCAGAACACCAACCACTGCACTTAGCTAATTAAAACGCGACTTAGCACACGGACGCCTGATATTACAAGAGGCCGATTTTGAGCAATGACCGTTCTTTCTCCCAATTTTCTTTCATCCCGTCATCCTAGTTTTGTATGGTTGTTTGTAGTTCTAAGGTGGACATAACATGACGGCACAACATTTTCACAGCGGTACAGAACCCTATCACTTCTGTGGTATACTGCTGTTCTTGCACAAGAAACGTGAAGGTTCTGAATATCTATCTATATCTATCTATCTATCTATATATATAAAAATGAATTTCTGTCTGTCTGTCTGTCTGTCTGACCCTTATAGACTCGGAAACTACTGAACCGATGGGCGTGAAAATTTGTATACAGGGGTTTTTGGGGCCGTGGAAGGTTCTTATGATTATTCGAGACCCCTCAACCCTTCTGTAAGGGGGGGGGGGGGGGGGCTCCCATACAAATGAAACAGAAATTTCTGCATAACTCGAGAACTAATCAAGCAAATGGAACCAAATTAGGCATGTGGGGGCGAGTGTGGGGGTATAAGGAGATAATCATAGGGGGTAGCCCCTTAGATAATAGGGGGGGCTACGTACAATATAGCATGCTTTTTTTAAATCGGCGCATAAACTCAAGCTAATATTGAATCCCGAGCAAGACCGGGCACACTCAGCTAGTATAACATAAATTACAAAAACCTATGAACTTGTGACCGTTTAACAAACTCCTGAATGTGATCTCCAATTGAAAGAATGAAAACCATGCACATTTGATCGCAATCGTGGGTTAAAATAAATTGATACAACAATAAAACTATAAAATTTTGCTCATTTAAAAAAAAAAGTAGAAGGGTCTGTGTCTAGGGGCACGAACGGAAGCTTGACGGAACAAATGTGAACATTTAGTTCTTTTAATTGATCAATCATCAATTATCTTAACTCTTTCCGTTGTTTATTTGTAAGCGTATCAAATTTGTAGTATTTATTTCAAAGAGAAAGTTGATGAAGAGAATCCACGGGACTGTCAACTTGAGTATTTTCGATTCATCTACACGACTTTAAAAGGTGTATTTTAAATTTTTTGTTATTTATGATTTTTTTAAGTTTTGTGCATTTTGGTATTACAGTGTAATCAATTCACCCCTCACAGGATTTCCTTCCGAATTATATGAATGGGGCGGGGCGGAAAGTATCGTTTGTGCAGGATATGTAAAAAAGGAGGGACTTCGAGAGATTGAACTCGTGAGAGCTAATTTTCTGACAAATTTGATTTTATTGGCTTTCTGGAGACTGCATATACACCCATAGCGAATTATTCCCACTTCTCTCAAATTCTATATGGATTTTTTACACTTCCTACCAGCGTGTTCTGGAAAATGGTCGGACGATGATTAATCTCACCATTACATTCGGGCCTACAATTCCACACCTTATATAGATACCAGGTTGAGCCTTGATAGCTAGCTGCTTGAGGGAACTGATGACCTTGACAAATGTCCAAATAATTGGCGTCTTGCAGTGAAACTTTTCCAAGATTTCGCCACCTACATTTCGAAGTGAGAACTACTAGAAGGAGGATAGTTTCCAAATTCTTCAAGTAAAACAGACGATTTTTGGAGCAAATCGGTACATAAAGAAAAACTAATAATTTCCGGTGGATACTTTTGCTTGAATCGTGTAAGAAAACGTGCTTGCAAACTAACTGTTATTATTTCGGTAAGGATCGGAGATGTTTTCATGGAAAATTATGCATAACAAGTTTGCACCCACAGCTAGAGGTTACCTCATGTGCAGCTGCATTTTTCGGAAAATGATGAATTTGTGCAATTTCCACTAGGATGAAAGTGGAAATTAAGTGAATTTACTTAGGAAAGATTGTATTATGCTGGTGATAATGGAGAAATGGTTGTATAGGACACCAATATTCAATAAATGTTCATTTTAGTCTTTTTTAGGTAAACATATTGATAATCACAATTTTCGACGGAAAACGCAACGGAACTTGATTTACTCAACACGCACCATACTATAAAATGGTGCTCGATGGTTTATAAAGTGATAACAAGATGACATATCATCTTTATTTTGAGTAATTGAGCAATTTACTTTTGTTTACATCATATGTACGATGCAGCATTGATGGAGCTGTGAAATGAAATGAATATATCTTATAAAGATGCACATCAGTCTGATCGTGAAAACATTTTCTTCTTCAATTCGAATGTTATATTGGAAGGATTTTACGCCTGCTTGATGAAAATTATGATTTAATGCTAATTTTCACGAATTTTATGTGGAATATCATCATCATGAAGTGGCGACATCTACTTCAAGCTTTTACGGCAATCTCCCTATACTCTTAACAAATTTATGGTGGTCCTGAAAAGGACCATTTTGTAGTGATGGTTGAGTAATGCTGAGCTGAGCAGGACGAGCTACTGATTCCGATCCTAGCCTAGCGGTGGGACTTCTTCCTCCTTCTCTATGGTTGCTCATAGGAGCACTGCAGCTCGCTGCTTGCAGGCAGCCTTTCGTTGTTGTTGTTGTTGAAAGCACTCCGGCTGCTGCTGCTGCTGCTGCTGCTACTACTGCTGCTGCTGGACTGGATACCACCACTTACGGTGATTGAATGATATGATACAAAGTTTCTCACTAAATGGACTCTATAGGACTCGTTTGAAACTCGCAAAGGACTTCGACAAGGCGATGGTCTTTCCTGCCTCCTGTTCAACATTGCGCTAGAAGGTGTTATGAAACGTGCGGGCTTAAACATGCGGGGCACGATCTTCAATAAGTCCAGCCAGTTCATCTGCTTCGCTGACGACGTGGACATTGTCGGAAGATATTTCAAATTCATGCACACTAGCGCCGCGTAGTGAGAAAAGTCCGAACTTCTGTCCACCAACGATAAGGCCTTGATCTTGATTCCTAGATGGCAAGGATTTCAAGATATCACAAAAACAAGAAATCACTAATTCATGCAAAATAGCGCCACGTAGTGAGAAAATTCCGGACTTCTGTCCACTAACCTTTAGGTCTTGATCCACTGAACAGCTTTGCTTTGAGCTATGTCTGCTTGTCTGTGATCATATCTTCACTATCGCAACTTCTGGTAATCCGCAAAAATACTTGTATTTTTCTTAGGCACTTTAGATCTAACTGCAATGACTCGTCCATACTCGAAATGTGCTTCGACCGAATTGGCACAACAACGCCCTATACGCTTTCTGACCAAAGCGCAGGGAGCTTCAGCTTTACAATCGCCCTCTATTGTTCGATCTGGCGGGATAGTGGGCAGAACCAGTCTTTTTCTATTAAATCCACCCCATTGTCACTGTATCACTGAAACCTAATCTGACAAAAGCTTGACTAGTCACTGGAACTGTGAAATGCGCATTTTAGACACTATTGTTAGTATAGCTGCGAGTCCATCGTCTTGTTTGTCACAAAACCAGTGGCTTTATGGTTACAGCTGTAGATCCCCTACTCAAATCATTAGTTTCTGTGAAAATTTGTCGGCGAAAAAGAAACCTCAACTTGCTGGAGAAATGTCCTCATGCCGTGGCTAATTGGCACACATTTTTAAAAACTGCACGTCTCGTAACGAAACTTTCAGCACTGAAAGAGAACTTTTAAATCAAACTGTTATCAGACAATTTCAGTACCGACCACCGGGAGCGCTGCTATCAAATTGACTGTGGTTCCGAATTCTAACTAATGCCCACTTTAGAAGCTGTTCATAAATTAAGAGGACCATTTTCGAGAGAATGAGACAATCGTCCATTCAAAATTTTGGAAATTTATATGTACCGTAGACGCTCTCCAACCCAGTTGTTCAATGATTAACTTTTTGTAGTCGATTGAACTGCAACCACCAGATCGGTGGTAAATTGAATACATTTCACTTGCCTCGTCTAAGGCCGGCTTAACGCCACCGCCATTGTCGTCATCTTCGTCGGCAAGCTCGACAGGTTTACAAAGTTCTCAATCAAAAACTGTGGAAGAACCCTAAGATGAGAGCCGACCTACAGTCCCACTAATATGTTTTTGTATCATATTCTATTTAACACTCTTGGATCATTCGTGATTTGTCCGGGGATAAGATTTGAACTCGTGACTATGACGTGAGAGTTATTAATGTTAACCACAACGCTGGAACCGTCCCCTGTGGACGTAATAAAACCAAAGAAGCAAATGGAACCTGGCACCTTTCATATATGTTTGTTAAATATGAAACTGTTCCAACCTAAAAACCCAACCTGCACAAACGATGGACTACACTTGCAGTATCAAACACAAGAAACATATTTTTAAGCATTTAATCTAACCAACCAGCAGGTATAACTTAACTACTTTTCAAATAAGAGCGTCCCTCTACCTCGGATCCGAGAAACCCAAAATTAACACAAATTAATCCAACCGTTTCCCCTTTGTCGCGCTCCACCCTCTGATGTTCACTTCCGTCGTGTCACACTCCACGAAATTAAAAACACAATCAACCGCCCGTCTGCACGTGTCTGCCACAATAAAGAACGACTGGAAAAACGTCATCTTCCGGACCTAAGACTTGTCTGCCTTGCTAAATCCCCTTTTCTATACCCGCCCCTTTCCACCTCGTCCTTATCAAACATCATCGCTCCGAAGAAGGCGACCGAGCCAGGGATAGGTGTCAAAGCGATAAACGGCCCCCGGAGCCCAAAAAATAAAATATGATTATTCCCTGAGCTCATTTCCGTTGCTGTTTTGATATCTGCTGCTCCCGTTCTACTTGGTTGAAGAAAAATTTCACTCCCCATACACCACCCCAAAAGGCACCGAGCACAGCATCCAAACAATCCGGAGGGGCGAATAATTTCCCTCTTAAGCATATTATTCGAGTTCTTCCTTTTCTAGCTCCCATTCTCCCTGTTTCTTCTCGTTTGCTCATTCATTCGACGATGATAAAGTTATTCATCGTTCATATCCTGAATGCTGTTGCTGGGACGATGGCGATGCTGCGGTGCTTAACCAGGATGAAAAACGGATCCATTTTTGGAAAATTTTCTTCGTTCTTACTTACTGCTTTGAGGTCGCTGTTTGTTTGCAGGAACTCGAAGAAAGGCATGTATTCATCCGCAAAATCTTCTTGACACAAACGAACACCAACACATTATCAAGCAAGAAGCACGATTGAAGAGGGAGACAAATATCCCCGAGAAGTATTTTTCTTTATTATTATTGTTTGAACAGGGCAATAATTCCACTGAGGTGGTGGGATTTTCGGTAGTTTTGCCAATTTTCATGAAACGAATAAGACACATGAAAAGGGGATGCTTGGTTAAAATTATCGAAATTTCTGGATAATTGGGGTAGGTGTTTCAGTAATAGTGGTGTACCTATAGTTGCGGAATGGAGGTTGTGCCAGAATAGTGAGGAGGATCTGGATAAGATTATTTTTCATCGGTAGCTCTCCTAAAATAAAGCATATTTCCATATTTCAAACTTTAAATATGCCCAAAAGTGACGGAAAATAATTAATTTTCCTTAAGATTTCCACTCCTTTGCACCTATAGTTCCGGTAGTGTTTCTATAATAGTTGAACCCATAAGAAACCAATGCATTCCACTATTATAGGAACCAAAGTTAGTAACTACCACAACTACTGGAACAGTATTCCTATTAATGGTGGACGATCTTTCTAAAATTTTATGCAATTTTATTACAATGTAATATGTAGCTACAGATTGACGTATAACAATTGTGTGTACATCGTATTTTTATTTTTTAATTGATAAATTGGCTTAGAAGCTCCACTACTGGCTCACCCACCCTACTAACGGTGTTGCGAAATACTTTTAAGATGCATTTGGTTGATGCAAGGAAAGCTAAAAAAAACCTGCTTTCTGGCCGTGATGTCAAGTTGAAACATGGAATTTGATGCAAATTGCACACTGAGCTTGACTATCCAATATCCAATTTCTAACCGAGATGGCAAGTTAAATCCATTGAAAACGAATATTACTCAGCGAATGAGCCCCTTTTACTGATTCGTATGACGATTTTTTATAAATCGTAGGTTACTCACGCTTTAAGAAAAAAATCATATGAATGAGTAAAAGTGAGTTATTTTCGTTTCAGTGTGCAACGCAATTTTTTTTTTTTTTTTTTTACAGTCACTTTAACACTTTGGGTTATTCGTGACTCGTCCGAGGGTGAGATTTGAACTCGTAACTTTGGCGTGAGAGGTATGGATGCTAACCGCTACGCCGGAGTCGCCCCCAACATTCCTATTTACTAGCCTGAAGGGCTGGCTCTTGATCTTTGTTTAATTCGTTATTCTTATTTACGTGTTTACGTTTTTCAACTAGTCACAAGATATCTTTTTTGGGTGTGGTTTACTGGCATTTAAAAAAAATTTGATAACCTACCTAACTACTAATAACTTAACCTAAATAGCACTCCGCATCGTGCTCTCTTGCCGTGCGGATCTATTCGCTTTTTGCTGAAGGAAGTGTTACTACTACCTAAAGCTACAACAAATTTAAACAGCACTTTTCAGTGCTCAACCTGTAAAATTTCTACCTAGGGTCCAAACAAGGATCGAAGAGGAATAAGAGTTGAATTATTCCTCTTCGATCCTTGTTTGGACCCTATCCGAGGTAATCCTTCTTGGATATCGATTTGGAAAATTCCTCTTCGATCCTTCAGATTCTTATTGTAATCTGCTTGGAAGTCGATTTGGATAAAAATTTACTACCGCCGTGGCACCTAAACGCAAAAGAAAGCGTCAAACTCTTGATCCCCCTTCCGACGAAATTAATTTGAGTAATCAATTTGATTTGCTCACGGATGATGAGAATGATCCATCATCCAAAAAAAATTCTAGTATACTTTCCCGGCTTAATGCCAAGAAGGAAAAGATTCCCCCTATTGTGTTAACCACTTCCGATTACTATGCTCTTCGCATGGAGCTTTTGAACTGGAACAAATTGGTCATCGGGGTGAATGCCGTGTATTGGCTGAAACCTTTTTTTTTTGTCCATTAATTTATTTGATAAGGCTCAACCGAATTAACTTTACAGAGCCAAGGATTCTTGGTCACTATACAATACATCTTAAAACTATAGTCAAAAGGTACAACACAATAAACACTTTATCTTCCGCTATCCAAAAAGCCTCCTCCATCAGAACTGGAGCCGCTTCTAGTGGTTTCATTGTATGGCAGCTACGCCATCGTGAGGCAAAGCGCTTCCATTGCAGCAATGAACGCAAAACGTAGTCAGCACTCACACACTCATCACGAAACAGTTGCTTTCCAAAGTCGAAGACGCATCGACCGAAAGAACTGCTGATTAAGAACAAGGAGGAGGACCACACAATGGTTGCTGCCGAGAAAACAGACGATCGCGTGGCACACATCGAGAGTCGCCTGCTTTTGTCGACAGCCGAGTGAGCACTGAGGCTGTAGTAGTAAAAATATGTTTATTTCTGTTGATTATGGTAGTATGTACATTGATTTATCATATTTGTAGTGATGTAACTGTGGTTTCCGTAATTCGCGTGTGTAATTTAAGTGAAAAAAAAGGCCCTGTATGCAACTATAGGATAGCTGCTACATTCTTTGCATCTCCATCCACCGGCGAGTGTTGGGGAGCTTTCCAACAACCCACATCGAAGGCAGAGGTAATTTGGTTCCCCAACATTTATGGTCCTTCGAACCGGATTGGTTGGACTACGGGGATTTGGAACGGACAGTATCAGTTGGGCTGATTCAGACCCGTACGGTAGCCTGAGGCAGGCTTGGATTGGCGCCATCGCGGACGGTGTTGAATAGGAAATCGCCATATCTCCCGTGAACAACAGTTTTACGGCCATCACACAGGAAGATAATTAACACCGCGCCATCACTACATTACGGCACAAAGGACATCCAAGGATAAGGGATCCATTCTTACCTCACTATTCAAGAGGACAGCGTGGCTTCGTTTTGGGCATCCATCGGTTGGATTGTTCCCACAGGTGAGTTGGAACAAAAAACTATATGTCCATTCGATGCTAGGGAATTGCGCCATCCTAACACACGTTTTTTCTGCAATCTATTTGATTATTCGGTTGGACTGCCCGGCTTTGAGGATTTGCATGCGTATACCAGGAGTGTTGGACATCGGTAATCGATCTCGACGTATGGAATTACATAGGATCATTGGATCGTTCGTAGGTTTGGACAACTGATCCAGCACCGGATTTACTTCTCCAGGTAAATATATTTAGATCAGTATATGTCCAGCCTTTGCAAGTGTTTACGCGATACTAACGCCCACATTTCGACGTATTTCTTTGCATCCATCCTATAATATCCACCGAGACAGAAAGACGCTGTTCGAAAACGAGTTGTTGGTTTGTCATCTCGACGTACATTCCTGGAACTGGAACTGGTAGAACCACGAAGACAGACGCCATCCTAATTCCATTTGATTGAGGAGCATCACGGCCATCTTCGAGGAGACGATTTGGAGCGTGGCAAGAAGAGGCGGCATCGATTCATTTTCTCTGTGGTGAGTGACAAGAATGTATATGTCTCCGAAGCGGGACCTCAGATAATATACGCTTTTTTTTAATGAATTTCGAATCCTCTTCAAATCATTTACAACGCAATCCCTGAGCAAAAACTGTTCGTTATCAGAACAATTAACTCATTCTGCTGTGAATTTTGGACGCTTTTGGACGTTTTTTCTGGTCGTTTTTGGATTGGATTGGTACCGTTACTGGTTCCACGGGTTAGTTTGAACAGTATATGTTCTGCCGAAGCTTTACTTTGGATACTACATGCATTCCTTCCTCTTCTTTGGATCCCAATCTGAACTGTTTTGCTGACAAGTTGAACGAGTGGACTTTCGCTTTGTAAATCGGACACAGCGAGCTGTTTGGAATCGAGTTAGCAGTTGCTGTTTGTTCTCATAGGTGAGCTACAACAGTATATGTCCGCCGAAGCCAGGTTTTGGATACTACAGTTGGTTCTTTCCTCCTCTTTCCTCATCAATCGAACGATTACTAGCTAAGCTGCAACAATCGGTGTGACGTCACTGTAATCAGCGACTCTACAATTTACTGGATTAGGTGTAGCAGGTCGCAGTATATCGTTCTGTTCTCTCAGGTAGGCTTCAACAGTGTATGCCAGCCGAAGCCTTGGACTATCGGATCTCTACACCACCCAATTCTTCTATTTACCGGTTTGAGTGACGCATATCAACAATGCCGACCCGCGACAAGAAGCCGCCAGCGTTCAAGCTGTTGATGGTCCAGCTTAAGAACATCCAGACATCTTTGGACGACATCTGGAGATTCGTGGACGGTTACCCGTCGACAACTACAGCAAGTCAGGTCAACGTTCGCTTGAATAGGATCGATGAGTTGTGGGAAAGGTATGGAGAGATTCTAATCGATGTTCAAGCTCATGATGACTTTGAGGATGAGGATCAGGAGTTCGATAAGGCTAGGTTAGCGTATAGTGATAAGTAGTAAGGCGTTCTTGATGGATAGGGCCAAGGAACTGCAGGATCCGGAGGAAGTTGAACAATCCATACGAGCAAATGAGTCGTTGACACACGGCCATGGTACCCTTGATCATGTGCGTTTGCCTCAAATTAAGCTACAAGTTTTCAACGGGGACATCGATGAGTGGATCAGCTTCCGTGATCTGTTCACTTCACTTATACATCGGAAGACGGACTTGCCCGAAGTGGAAAAGTTCCACTATCTCAAGGGATGCCTGCAGGGAGAACCAAAGAGCCTGATTGATTCATTGAAGATTACGAAGAACAACTACCAAATTGCGTGGGATATGCTGTTGAAGCGTTATGACAACAGCAAGCAATTGAAAAAGCGACAGGTACAAGCTTTATTCAATTTGCCAACATTATCCAAGGAATCGGTAAGGGATTTGCATACTCTGACTGATGGTTTCGAGAGAGTGGTGCAGAATTTGGACCAGGTGATCAAGCCTGAGGATTACAAGGACCTGTTGCTCGTAAATCTGCTCACAAACCGGCTGGATCCAGTAACGCGCCGAGGTTGGGAGGAACATTCCTCGACCAAGGATCAAGACACGTTAGAAGATCTCTCGGATTTCTTACATCGTAGGATCCGGATTCTGGAGTCATTACCAACGAAGGCTTCGGATTCCAAGACTTCTTATCAAGTACAACAACCGTTGAGACAGAAATCGTCTGTTGTGAAGGCCAGCTACGGTTCTGTGCAATCGTCTGGGGGACGATGTGCGGTATGCAAGGAGAACCATCCACTCTACCAGTGTTCATCCTTCCAACGGTTGTCGGTGCGAGAAAGAGATGCAGTGCTGAGGGCGAACTCTCTATGCAGGAACTGCTTCAGATCGGGCCATCTGGCAAAGGATTGTCCGTCAAAATACTTCTGTCGTAGTTGCAAGGGTCGTCATCATACATTGGTATGCTTCAAACCGCAGAAGGATGGGTTGGCGAAGGTCGCTGCTGTTGCTGGAAACAACAATCCTCCTACTCAAATGGAATCTGGTGAACCATCCACTTCTACATCCTCCCAGGTGGTCAACATGGCAGCCACCGAAATAACAGTCTCTGGGTCCACTCAACAGTTCTCCTCCAAGGTTTTGCTGGCTACTGCGGTCGTTATCGTGGAAGATGATGAGGGTAGTCAGTTCCCGGTTCGTGCTCTATTGGATTCCGGCTCCGAGAGTAATTTCATCGCTGAACGGTTGAGTCAACGGCTCAGGACACATCGAGAGAAAGTAGATATTTCTGTGCACGGTATTGGTCACGCGGCTACAAAGGTTAAGTACCAGATTACCGCGATGGTTCGTTCGCGAGCTACGGCTTTCTCGCAGAACATGAATTTCCTCGTGCTCCCAAAGGTTACGGTAAATATACCTACGGCGAAGGTGAATACACAAGGCTGGACGGTGCCTAACGGGATCATCCTGGCGGATCCCACTTTTTTCAATCCAAGCTCAGCGGACATGGTGTTGGGCATCGAATCCTTTTTTGATTTCTTCGAAACTGGTCGAAGAATTCCCCTCGGAGATCAATTGCCGACACTTAACGAATCAGTGTTCGGTTGGGTGGTCTGCGGAGGTCTGACAAATCCAAGTCAAGGCTTAAGCATCAATTGTAGTACGGCAACTACACAAGGATTAGAGGAGCTAGTCGCACGGTTTTGGGTTAGTGAAGAGATTGGCAGTTCCAAGGTTCTTTCGTTGGAGGAAAGTAAATGTGAGGACATTTTCCGGAAGTCGGTTCGCAGGGAATCCGACGGTCGATACTCCGTTTCGTTGTCGAAAGATGAAGACGCAATTTCCAGGTTGGGCGAGTCACGGGACATCGCATTCCGGCGGCTTCAAGGCACAGAACGTAGATTGGCGAGGGATGTTGGTCTGCGAGAACAGTACCATCAGTTCATGGAGGAATAAATCCGATTAGGGCATATGACGAAGATAGAGGAAACGGTTGATCTCGAAAAACGATGCTATCTGCCACATCATCCGGTAATTAAGGAGGCCAGCACCACAACTAAGGTCCGTGTGGTATTCGACGCGTCATGCAAGACGTCGTCCGGCGTTTCGCTCAATGACGCTCTGCTGGTGGGACCGATTGTACAGGAGGACTTACGATCTATCATGCTCCGGAGCCGCGTCAAGATAATCATGCTGGTAGCCGATGTAGAGAAGATGTTCCGGCAAATCTTTGTTCTACAGGTGGATAGGCCACTCCAATGCATTCTATGGCGTTTCGATCCGTCGGAGCCCGTCTGCGTGTTCGAGCTCATCACCGTCACATATGGGACAAAATCAGCGCCATTTCTCGCAACCCGTACATTGAATCAGCTGGCAGTGGACGAGGAAACCAATTACCCGTTGGCTGCAAGGGCAACCACCGAGGATACCTATATGGATGACGTCATTACGGGAGCAGATACCATAGAAAAGGCACGGGAGCTTCGGAAACAGCTCGATGAAATGATGTCAAGGGGAGGATTTCGGCTACGGAAATGGGCATCCAACCGTCCGGAGGTTTTGGAGGGAGTCCCAGAGGAAAATCTGGCGATCCCAAGCTCAGATGGGATAAACCTGGATCCAGACCCAATAGTCAAAACGCTAGGTTTGACCTGGATACCGAACACCGACCAACTGAAGTTCCAGTTCGATATTCCACCTTGGTCATCAGAACAATATCCATCCAAACGACAAGTCCTTTCAGTGATTGCCACACTCTTTGATCCTTTAGGACTTCTCGGCGCTGCTATCACCACAGCCAAGGTCATAATGCAGCTTCTGTGGAAGATAAGGAACGAGCAAGATCAGACATTGGATTGGGACCAGCCATTGCCTTCAACGGTGGGTGAGATGTGGAGAAAATACTACGACCAACTTCCTCTACTGAACGAGGTTCGAATCGATCGTTGTGTGGTCATTCCAGATGCAGAATTGATCGAGATTCATTGCTTTTCTGATGCTTCGAACAAGGCATTTGGTGCCTGTGTTTACGTACGGAGTCAAGATACAGAAGGCAGGATTAAGGTTCAGCTGTTATCCTCAAAATCCAAAGTGGCACCATTGAAGACGCAGTCCATACCAAGGTTGGAGCTGTGTGGTGCGCTTCTGTCGGCGCAGTTGTATGAAAAGGTTCGTGACGCAATCAGGATTCCCGCTCGGACGTTCTTCTGGGTCGATTCAACCTGTGTTCTGCGATGGATTCAAGCATCTCCAAACGTCTGGAGTACTTACGTCGGTAATAGAGTAGCAAAAATCCAGACTATCACCGAACCATCACAATGGCAACACGTTCCTGGCAAGGAGAATCCGGCGGATTTGATCTCCAGAGGAATTTCACCGAAGGACATCGTCGAAAATATCTTCTGGTGGGAGGGACCAGGTTGGTTGAAAGGGAATCCGGAGGAATGGCCTCATCCACCGAGTGAACTTTCTATGGAGGAAGTAGAGCAGGAAAGACGACGAACAACGATCGCTTGTGCAGTTACGGGGTATGCGGAGTTTAACGAATGGTTTTTGGGGAAGTATGAATCCTATACGAACCTCATTCGCCGAACTGCATACTGGCTGCGGCTAATGCGGCTACTACAGAAAGAACCGAAAAACAGAGTTTCAACGGGCCTTTTGTCAACTAACGAGCTTAAGGAGGCAGAGTTCGTTCTACTTCGTCGCGTTCAGAAAGAAGTTTTCGCCGATGAATGGAAGGCACTTTCCAAGGGAGAAGCTATACCCAGGAAGTCTCCACTTAGATGGTTCAATCCGTATATTGCCGAGGATCAAGTCATCAGAGTTGGTGGACGGCTTGGGCACTCTGCTGAACGACATGATACGAAGCATCCGATAGTTCTTCCTGCACGGCATAAACTTACCCGGATGATCCTCCAGCATTATCATCTGCAACTTCTTCACGCTGGTGCTCAATTGCTACTTGGTGCTGTTCGCTTACGGTTCTGGCCACTAGGTGGAAGAAACGTCGCTAGGAACATCGTCCACCAATGTATGAAGTGTTTTCGTGCCAAACCTTCACCAGTTCAACAGTTCATGGGGGAGCTGCCAGCACCACGAGTCACCGTGTCAAGGCCATTCTCGCAGACCGGTGTGGATTATTTTGGACCATTGTACGTAAGACTTGCACCCCGAAGACCGGTAGTCAAGGTTTACGTAGCAATTTTCGTGTGTCTCTGCACGAAGGCAGTTCATTTAGAGCTGGTGACTGACCTGAGCACTGATCGGTTCCTGCAAGCTTTACGTCGTTTCATCGGCAGACGAGGAAAATGTCAGGATATTTATTCCGACAATGGGACCAACTTCGTTGGAGCGAAAAGCAAGATGCAGGAGTTCTTAAAGCTGATTAGGAGTTCGGACCATTGCGAGAAGATTGTGAAGGAATGTGCTGAGGAAGGAATCCAATGGCATTTCAATCCACCCAGTGCTCCACATTTTGGAGGACTGTGGGAGGCGGCTGTTCGATCTGCCAAAAATCACCTTCTCAAGGTCGTTGGAGAAACTACGGCATCGGCAGAGGATCTCAATACGCTGCTTGTCCAAGTTGAAGCATGCCTCAACTCGAGACCACTCACAGCAATGTCCGATGATCCCAATGACTTGGAACCTCTTACACCAGCTCATTTTCTGATTGGTTCCTCATTACAAGCCCTGCCTGAACCGAACCTGGAGGATGTACCTATGAATCGTCTGAAACACTGGCAGTTGATGCAGCGGCTGCTGCAAGACTTCTGGAAACGATGGCGAAGGGAGTATTTGAGCCAGTTACAAGGAAGAATCAAGCGCTGGAAGCCACCGGTTAAGGTCGAGGTAGGAAGACTGGTAGTAGTACGCGATGAAAATCTACCTCCAATGAAATGGAAGATGGGACGGATTCAACAGCTTCATCCAGGTGACGATGGAGTAGTACGTGTAGTCACACTCAAAACGGCGACTGGAATGTTGAAACGTCCGGTGGAAAAGTTGTGTTTCTTGCCGGTTTCTGATACAACCACGAATCAGCAGTCGTCAGTTTAGATCAGCATCCTTTCCCTTCCTTTCCTTCCGAAGAGGATTTTGTTTCTTTTCAGAAATTAGGAGAATTTCAGGGTGGGTGAGGATGTTTACGAGTAGAATCATTCTCACCCCATCGAACTACAACCATGGCATCAGCTGTGAGCCCGCAATCGCAACAATAGGCTGCAGATATATGTATATTTATCACCATTGTCCCACGCGCTCAGCAACAACAGCAGTTGACCAACAGAACCACCGAGAGGAGAAACTAAAGCAGGGTCTTGCTTCGGTGGTAATGACGTCACCCGTATGATACTGCAGTGGGAATAATAATGCGGAAGATAACGGTTGATAAGAGAGCGGGAGCAAACTCTCATTTGGACCCGAGAAAAGACATCGCATAGGTAGCGATCGCGGTCAGACGATGACCTTTTTTATTATATACGGTAGAAACCTATCGACCACCGACCGTGTGTGGAGTCCGCGCGGGCAATTTTAATCTGTTTTTGTGTGTTAGAATTTAAGCCAATGTTTAGTTTTAAGGAATAAAAATCGTTGTTATTGTTTAAATAAATGTAGTGATGTAACTGTGGTTTCCGTAATTCGCGTGTGTAATTTAAGTGAAGAAAAAGGCCCTGTATGCAACTATAGGATAGCTGCTACATTCTTTGCATCTCCATCCACCGGCGAGTGTTGGGGAGCTTTCCAACAACCCACATCGAAGGCAGAGGTAATTTGGTTCCCCAACAATATTAATTGATAAGCCTATCTGGCTCTTCATCTTTGTTTTATTTGATATTCTAATTTAATATTTGCGTTTTTCAACTAGTTTACAGAATACCCCTTTGGGATTTGTTTTATTTGAATTGAAAAAAGTGAAAACCTACCTAACTACGAGTATAACTTAACTTAACGTGCTAGATCACGTATGATCTGATGATTTGATCTCAGACAGGTGTCTCTGAACCTTTCCAGGATGAATACTCTCCGTTCTTCTAATGTTTGAATTCCAGCCTGGAAGTGGATCTCAGAATTTCTAGTCCGCGGGGGACTGTTTAGGACCATCCTAAGGATCTTGTTTTGGATCCTTTGGAGTTTAAGGTGATGGCATTTTGCGCAACTCTCCCAATTTGGCATACCGTACTCGATTACAGGAAGGATGATTTGTTTGTAGACAGCAAGATTATTTTTCAGGGCCAGGGTTGTCTTCCTGTTGATAAGTGGATACAACGATCTTATCAAGATGTTGCACTTGGTTTTCGTTTTGTCAACGTGCTTCCTGAAAAGAAGCTTGCTGTCTAGTGTTAGCCCGAGGTACACGACCTCTTTGGACCATTCCACCACCGTGCCGTTCAGGCAGATCTTGTTATTCTCCGACGGAACAAGCCTAAAAGATTTAGAGTGTGGAAAGATAATGACCTGGGTCTTTGCCGCGTTGATACGGATCTTCCAGCTGTTGAAATATTCAGACGTCCAGGCCTCTCTGAAGTTTGGCAGTCAGAGCTCCGATGACCCTACCCTTGTAGACGATGGATGTGTCATCTGCGAACAGAGACAACGATCCACCATCAAGGAGAGCCGGCATATCGGAGGTGAACAGGTTGAATAGGATGGGGCCAAGGATGCTTCCTTGTGGAACCCCGGCACCGATGTTGAAAGCATCCGATGTGATGCCATTCAGAGAGACTCGAAACGTCCTGTCTGATAGATAGTCGTTTATTATCTTCACTAGGAAGATTGGAAGACCGTACTGCTGCAATTTGAACACCAGGCCATCATGCCAGACATTGTCGAACGCTTTTTCAACGTCCAACAACGCCATGGCAGATGTTTTCGAAACAGACTTGTTCCGTCTGAGAATGTTTGTTACTCGAGTCAGCTGGTGGACGGTCGAACGACCTTTCCGAAAACCAAACTGT